GAAAATAGGGTGGAAGTATTTAAAAAATTTGTAACATGAAAAATAGACTTTGTGCACCTACAAAATTGAGATATGTTATTCCTGATGATCTATTGGATAGAAAAAACTTCACGTCCTAGTTTTCCGGGCCGTCTGAGGGGGTGAAAATGGGGTGGAGAGTTGAAAAAATCGTATCTTCGAAAATTGAATGTGTACACCTACAAGTTTAAATATGTTATACACATGATTATCTATCTGACAGTAATAGTTTTAAAGGCCGGCTGGCGGGTTCGAATATAGAATGTTTTTTTGAGGTTATTTATTACCTACTACAGTTCAATCAAATACGTATTTATATAGAGCATCTAAAACAGATGTTCTCAAACTTATTTTGTCTATCGCCCGAGAAACTACATCTTAAGAATCACAATCGCAGTCATTATTTTAATAATTAAATTATGTGTGTCATGTGAAAATAAGACTTTCTGATGAGGGTAATGTGAAACACCATTTTTTTAATACTAGGAAAACTTTTATACACGTAATTAAAACAAACATTTCAATTTGAATTTCAAAACTAATCTAATGTGAAGGATGAATTTGATGATTTTTAACAAGTTTGTTAATATAAAGTTCGAATTTACTCAAAAACAGCCGTAAGTTACCGCGTTCGCTAATCTGCAACCGATTTCTCTTTTTAGTTAGCAACGTTGTCACAGCACTAAATCCACGTTCACACAAATACGATGATGGGAATGCTATTGTTACGATATTTACTTGGGGTTCGTTTTTTAAAACAACACTAATAACACAACACAACAAAAAAATATTTTTTGAATGTTTCCTACACTAAATTAGTCATTTTTTAAATAATAAATTAATATTACGTAAATACCACTGTTTTACATGTGAATAGTTTATGTTTGTCCCTGCTACTAGTGCTGCCTCTCGTGACATTCGCTGTATTATTCCCAGGAAAAAGGCTCATTGAAATACCCTACAGTATCGGTTAATCCGGAGCTCGGTTAAACGTGACTCTGATAAATGGGGGTCTACTGTAATAAAATTGCAGTCAGACATATTTTATAAACATTATTCCATTCACTGGTCCACTGTAATATACATCCAGAATTTTTAAAGTTTGATATTGAGATCACTGCTTTTTATCATATACACTAGTAATATATTAACTTCGGTGGATTATTGCAAAATACAGACACATCAACAAAAATCCCAACAATAATCAAAAAGTGATCTAACGGTTGCACATAAGGTTACAGGAGATGAAACCAAATGTTACTAAAAATGTAATACTTAGTGGTTTGGCAAGAGTAATTTTGAATAGATTCAAACGATTTCTCACATTAATTGCAAAAAAATTTTATCGCTGACTTGATGCCATATAGACAACGGTTTGGATGTAGAAGCAATTTAAAATTTCATTGAGCAAAATAATAAATTTGTTGGCACCTGCAAAATTTCATCAGGTGTTGAGATCATTCCTCCCCATCTAGTTACTCTTGCTCTTTGTAGGGAGTTACTCCAGCGCAGTACTTCATCTCTCTCCATTGCATCAGCAATTGCTCGCATTGATGGGTTCGATATTCTCATTGCTCTCATAAAATCCTGAAAAATACAGCAAAATTTTACAATCGAATGAACGAATTCCCGTATATGTTGATTCAGTAGGTACCTTAAGTAGCTGCATTTCTCTCCTTTGTTCAGAAATTAAAAATCTCTGCTCGTTTATCTCCTGTTGAAATTCATTCATCTTCTGCTGCTGCGTATGTATCAAAGCTCTTAGTTCTTTAACGCAGTTGTGATCTTTCAGTTCATCTTTAGGTATAATCAGGCCACATCCCTGTTCACAAGGAAGAGGCCTCTTTGGATTGTGTTCACATTCTTCTAAGTGAGAAGCTAACGCATCTAGTTTCAGCACACGAGTACAGCCGTATTGGGCGTTATCACAAGAAATGCACAATCTGTAAATGATATAACACATGTTCTTTGGATTAAATTCGTTGAAAGTTCATAATTATAAGTATGTTGCAAAACCCAACAAGCAACAGTGAATTTTATAAATAAACCGACCCGTTAGTTGATGAAAATTATTAACAGTATCCATGATAGTTATACAATTTTCACACTAAGGTTGCATCAGGTAGGTAGGTTTTGAAAAAATACTACAATATGATATTACTTCTAGGAAATCAAGTAATTTATGAATATTTCAATTATTGGCTTTTCACATATAGTCAGTGGGCATTCTTGAAAATTGGCTATAAATCAAATCATCTGAAGCAGTCTTTCTCAAAGTGGGCGATAACGCCCCCTTGTGGGCATTGGAGGCAGTAAAGGGCACAGAGAAGATTGGGGGGTGTTGAAGCGGTTTAGGGAGGCGATGGCTAATTTTAACATGTTTTTTTTGCTTTTAACAAAAACTNTTTACGCAATCAAAGGCCTTGGTTAGGTCGCAAAATACTGCCGCGGTTGATTGCCCTTCATTAATTCGTTTGTAGACTTTGGTCATTAGCGCCAATATGGCATCATTCGTATTCTTGCGTTTTTGAAATCCGAATTGATCCTCGCTTAGTATGTTGTTTCGGCATAAAAACCTTAGCAACCTTTCCTGCACCAATTTCTCGATTATTTTGGCCAGGGTGGGAATTAGAGTTATAGGCCTAAAGTTCGATGGGTCGCTACTGTTCCCACCTTTATGAATTGGGACCACAATGGAAATTTTTAAAAACTCTGGGAAGAGGCCCAGATTGAAGGATCGGTTTATAAGTTCAGCTAAGATATTAAGAGCATCATCTGGAATATTGTCAAATAGAGTGGCAGAGAGATCGTCAATTCCCGCCGCTCGTTTATTTTTAATTGATTGTATAGTGGCTCTCAACTCTATCGCATCAGTCGGTTCAAAATAAAAATTGTTTTCAACGTAAACATCTGACATATGTGCTAAATAGTCGGAGGGGGGTTTCAAGTGATTAGTTGTCTTAGATGCTATGGTACAGTAATAGTCATTAAAGGTATCAGGACTCACTGAAATTTCTGAAGCTTCCTTTCTAGTCTCCATTCTCGAAAGTACTAGGCCCGCCCCCCCGCTGCCTCATATTGAAGCGCGCGCGTTATCCAGCCAGTAATGTCATTCGACGATATTACGAAAACAAGTGAAGTTAGTTAGCAACTAGCTAGATAAAGTGCTATCTGGGTAGGAATATTCGAAAACCGTCCAGTATTTTTTGAAAACACACTAAACGGTGAAGTATTTTAAAATGTTTTCACAAAGAAATTCTTGGATTTTATGGAAGAACTAGGCATTGAAGAACGCAGAAATGTTATATTTCAGCTAGACGGTGCCTCTATTCACAATGTGATTGCTGTGCGGCAACATCTTGATGAAAAATTTTCTAGAAAGATGGATTGGCACCTTCGATCGCCAGACCTGACTCCATTAGACTTTTTCTGTGGGGATATATGAAAGAAAGTGTTTATAGAAGTGGAACACGAAATTTGAATGAATTGAAGGAGAGGGTATGGCTAAAGTGTGGTGAAATAACACCAGGCCAATTGAGGAAGGTCTGACAGAATTTGAGATGTTATGAAAAATGTATAGAGCTTGAAGGGGGATATATTGAAAAATCCAATATCTAAAAAAACTGTTCCATTTATCATTTAATTTATTTCTGTTGTTGGTAAATTTTCTAAAATTAAAACATGTTTTCAGCTTTTGATATGTTGTTTTCAATTAAACTAGAGACAACTCCATGAAACGATAACAACCTATGTAACTTCGTAGCTGAGTATTGGATGGTTACTTCATGGTTTCTGTAAAGTTCATAGACTTTCATACAGGGTCAGTCAAAAAATCATGGATTTGGAAATTTGTCATCATATAACTAACACTCTGTATGAGATATTGGGCTGAATCTTGGAATCTAGATGTTCGAAATATGCCCAAATCAAATGTGTTATCCACTTTTCCGATAAAAAAAAATGCCAAATGGTCCTTCTCAAAATTTCGACCCATTTTTCAGGTCATAATAAGCCTTGAAAACGAGAATAATTTATATATGTCAACATATTTGGATAGAGCTCGTCGAGTACCATAATTTGAAATTGTAATTTTTCAAAATCAGTTCATAGGTCCCAAAATAACAGGATGTTGCGGATTGAAATTGCACACACTGTATGTTATCACATTACACTCATTTGTAGTTCTTGGACTTCAGGTTTGATTTTAATCTTGATCTCAATGATTTATGTACATGTTTGTATATTGGATGCTGCCGGGTAGATAGTAAATAAAAATAAATTTCGGAAGTAATCCATGGATGATTTGTGATTTTACTCCTGGATTTTGTGGGTACAAAACTCGGTAGGAAAGGTAATATAAGTAATATATTGAACATTCCAGAAAAATATTATTGATTCGTCAGCACTAAAAACATTTAAATTCTCTTGTAATAATACATTACAGAATTTAATATTTTCTTCAGTATAAAATTTCTTTTTCTTCCACACATGAATATCCTCTGTAAATAAATAACAACTGTCGAGTTATTCATAAACATAATTAGTTGTCGGAAGGGATCCATATATAATACTGCCTTGCATATTCTGCAAGTTTCTGCTTGAATGGTTGTTTCATCTTTGGTCACCAGACCATAGAAGAGAATGTTATGGGTTTAACCACCATAGTGTAGAAGCAATAAATCATGTCTGATTTGAAGCCCTGTGCCTCTCCATGGGCGTGTTTAGGCAGCATCAGTGCCCCCTCTTTCTAAATGTTAGTTTCAGGTCAACCTGGTATCACTTCCAGATATTTGAACTTTGCCTTGGAATTTTAGAGATGCATTAATGTTACTGTGTGTGATCTATGAAATGAATATTTGTCATGAACTTATGATTAATGATAAGTTATTTACTCTCTGAATCGGCCAGGAATGAACTGAATGAATGGTAGACACATACCTAGAGAGTAGGTTTCTCAATATTCTTGGAACTTGGCGCAACTGTGGAGACGTAACGCTTTGTCTGTCAACTGGACATGTTGGTTGTCTTGAGATCCACTCTGTTATGCACGATTTGCAAAAGGCATGTTCACATACGGGGGCCTAAAATACTGCAAAAATGTATCTGGTCAAGTCAAAATTATTTTGAATTACCTGTAAAGGATCTTCTAAAACTCCCGAACATATCGGACAAACAAGCTCTTCATCGACCTCTCCTTGAAACCTGTTCAATTCAAATCCCATATTTATATCCTACACCCATATCAAGCCTTTGAAAACATATTTGAAATTACAGAATATTCAGGCCCCTGTAAAATTTGTTTCTTGTTTTCGGAAAACTTCAATCTTTCAAAGGACAGATGATCATGACAACATTGACTACTGACAGGTGCTCATGACAAATGATGAAGTGACGTTAGACAATTTTCAGCGATAGTATATACCACCGAAAACATCGTTAGTTTTTGAAAAAGAGAGACTTGGACGTGGCTCACATAAAAAATAATTGAAGCAAATTTATTAAAAACAATTAATTCCAAACTTCAGAGTCGAATAGATGTGAAGAATAATTCCACATTTTCAAACCATTTTTTCTAAGGACAGAACACAAGCACTACAGAGAAATTCTTAAGGCGCTCTAATAGCGGTGCCTGTGTGAAAGTAGCGATGCACAATGGATTTGAATCGCTAGAGATTGAATCCATTTCTTCTCAGGAAACTTATTCCACAAAAATGCAGTTCTCCAAATGAAAGAGTTCTCAAACAGTGATGTTCAAGGTGTACTGAGTTGAACCTTAAAACGATGAGCAGCCACAGTCCGTCGCGTATTCCTGATATGTACCGCTCTTGGTTGAATCAAATGTGCCAAGTAAGTCACTTGAACACTTCCCGTGAAAGTATCTATAGAAGATAAACAAATCCCCTACCTTTCTTCGATTTTCCAGACTATCAAGGTTGCAAGTGATGTTCGCGTCTCCAATCAGGCGGAAGGCTCTTTTCTGGATGGAATTCAGTACTTTCAGGGTATGTTTAGGAGCGAATGAGCTCAATACATAAAAATAATACTCCAAAGAAGGTCTGAGTTGAGTTTTATAAAGTATCAAAAGTTGCTGAGGTGTGTACAGTTTTCTGGTTCGGAACAGTGTTCCAAGCTTTTGAGAAGCAGCAATTGCAATTCCAGCGACATGATTGTGCCAAAACATATTGGTGTCCGTTTTAAACCCCAACAAACTTTTCGAAGCTGGAAGTGGAATTGTCTGTCCTGACATTATTATATTCGGTTTGAGACCCTCAACTTTTTTGGAGAAAACCGATGCCTGGGTATTTGTAGTATTGAATTGAACCTAGTTACTTTCACCCCAATTCGAAATCACAGCCGATGTCCCAAAATCCAAATGACATGACGAGACAAGTGTGCCGTCGTCAGTAAAACAATATATTGCATTCATCATTTCTTCCAATAAGTCGTTGATAAACAATAAAGAGAGGGTTGGAGACAATATGAATCCCTGGGGAACACCAGTGTTGATGGTAAAAGTATTCAAGAGATATATCCATCGACGGCCACTTGCAGGAAACGTTCTTCAGGAAGCTGGAGAGAAACACAAAAATGATCTGACAAGCCATACCATCGAAATTTGGCCAGCAAACCCTCAAGCTATATACGGTCAAATGTCTTAGAAATATCAAGCCCAACAGCTCTTGATTTTCCATGTTTCTCGATTGCGTTATAGCAAATATGGGTGACATACAGTAGAAGGTCGCCTGTTGATCTTTGTTTCCGAAAGCCATATTGATGATCGTTCAATACATTAAAGCCTTTCAAATATTTAAGGATATGGTGGTTTACAGTTTTCTTCATGATTTTTGAAATCACTGATACCAAAGTTACTAGTCTATAGTTATTTGGAAGATTTTTCTTGCCCTTTCATTCACGATTATGATGTATTGAATTGATAGGATTAATAACTCTGAAAATTTACTGAATGAACGAATAGAATTGAATTCTTTTTCTATACCAAATGTTTTGTCTTATGTGGAAATTGGTAATTACCTCAATACATGTCGGTAAAATTTATTTTATAATGTTTAAATTTTCAATTAGTAAAATTATCAGTCATTGAGTAAATAGAAGTTCATATGTTTCAAAAATTGTCATATTATATGATGCATTTAGAATTTCAGCAGTATTTAGAATTCAGTATTATTCAGAATTCAGTCACTAAGAACATGCCTGAGAAAGCTATTGTATGGTAAAAAACGTGTTGCGCTTTTGTAAACTATCCAGTGAAAATTCCACGTTTTGGATTTTCATCAAATATCGGCTAGTTCCATCACATAACATGATACATTGTCATCGAAGCAGATAAATCAGTAAATCTCATACAATATATGTATATTTACCAAATTTACTGTGAGCTGCATTTACTGCACGAATGATGTGTGTGTTTAAGGTAAGCTGCGTAACGAACTAGATTTCCAGATCATAAGTACGCTGCATTTCTATACTATCGGTTTAGAGTGCAGGGGTCCTATAGTTAGGTACTGAGTTACTAGATTTATCAAATTCTGTATTCTTACGAGAACATGCTACGGTTATTAGCAGGCATTTATACATATCAAGAGCAGAGATTCAATTGTCAATAAACCTAACTTCTCAGGAATACATCGCTATGACGTCGCCCGCGCATACGTTGCGAACAACGAATATATATTCCCAGGGGACCATGAATCCTGTATTCTTGTGTTCATATTACAAGCATTTAATCATATCAATAAGAGACATCCAAATGTCAGGAATCATATTCTTCAATCATTAGTCGTTCGCAACGTACCTATGCGCAGGTGACATTACAGGGAAATTGGTATTTTTCAAAGAAATTGGTATTTTTCAAGCATTCGCAGATTTGCGATTGTGATTATCACTCACAGAACCAATTGGTTGAAAAATTTGTGATCCAACACCAGACAGCGTCTGGTCAGCTCCTAAACATAAGGAGCTGTGTCCAAAAAACGTGGAAGAACAAGAACTAATATGTCGTATGGTTCTGTTCCAGAATATTTTTCTGCGGTTTTGTGATATGGTCGTATGACATAATAATAATTGACATCTTGACGTACGTCAAAGGTCATTGGTGCTTGTAAATTGGGACTAGAAGAGAAGTTTATTTATACAATAGTGTTGTGTTGTTCCATTTTTATCCATTTGATTGGAGGCTACGGTTTTTTAAATCGTTTTGATGTGAAAAATGTGTAACGTGCTCTCAGATTTATTTGTTCTTTATCATCAAGGGTTTATTTCTCCAATAATTGTGAAAGCCCAATAGACATACACCGACATATATGACTCTTCCTCTCTGATTACTAGTTTTGGTAAGTAGTAAGTTCCTACAGATATTTTACTTTGCAGCTACTTGGAAGGTTCTGATTTCGTCTCCTTCTTTAATATATTAGTTTTTAAGTTATCTTGAATCGTAGGTTTTATATCTGCTTCAAATTTTTTATAGTTTGCACCCTGGGGGGTAAAGGATGTTGATTACTGTAAGTAATAATAGTGACAACCAATTTTCAGTGAAATCAGTACATTTTATCCCGGTTAATGCTCGTGTCTTAATAACCATCATTACATGATCGTTGCATAATATACTATTATTGTACCTACAATTGTCTAAGTTTTCAATTTGGATTTTGAGATCTTATCACATCCTCAATATAACTTAGTAGCAGTACCTATATGTTTCAATTTGTATCTGAAACTATGTGAGCCTTATAGGAAAAATGTTTTTTCAAACTATCTGATCAAGATATTCCAGATACTTCAAGAATCTCAATTTTTAAAATGCATTTCGCGATCATCACATTCTCAAAATAATTTAATTGATGGCTGTATTTGTTTTGATTCATATCTGAGCACCCTATGATGATCATATTTTATTGAATATTTTGATCAAAGTTAAGATCACAACATAAAGAGTGTTATAAATAAATGGAGCTTGTAACTCTAAAAAACTGATTCAAAGTGGGGTACGGAAAGGGTAGATCTTGGGTCTCTGTTTCTAAGAAATGTCATCTTCATTTCAAGGCTAAACTTTATTCTGGTATTTTGATAAATCTGTTCAGAACATAGAAGTACCACTTTGCCTTATCAACTACACACTGACATTGATTACAAAACAGTTATCATATGTGATCATCACAAAGAAAAACAATTTTATTATTAAATGTATGCTCTAGTAAAATAGTATGCACAAACAAGTTCCTGGGTCTACATATAGACTCAGATTGTCATGGAAAACATAGGGGAGACTATCGGAAAAAAAAAGGCTCCTCCAATAGGCATTTTGAAAAACTGAGCTTTTATATTCCAAGATATCTACTTTGTTCATTATATTTCTCACTCATACTTTGTCACTTTTCTAAAACTCACCTGTCCTGTGGTTTGCAACATTTCATAAATATATGAATTCACTTCAGATTATGTTGAACAAATATACAAGGTCTGTTAAAAAAAAGGTGACATTTCATTTTTCTCAAAAAAGTATTCAATCATCAATTTGTTTTGTTCCCTTCAAAGTAATCCCCCCTCAGATATAATACACTTGTGCCAGCATTTTTTCCTATCCTCGAACAGTTCTGATATGCAATTTTTGGTATGTCCTTGAGCTATCTCAGCGATTTGGTTTTCATCTCCTCAATCGTCGCAAAACGCCGACCCTTCACGGGTCTTTTCAATTTCGGGAACAAGAAATAGTCGAAGCCAAATCTGGTAAATACGGTGGCTGAAGCATGTTTATGGTGTTGTTTTTAGCCAAAAAATCATGAATAAGCAATGACGAGTAAGCATTATTGTGATGTAAGAGCACATAACTTGAAGCACTACGTCACGGTAATCGAAGAAATCAGTAAGCAGAACTTCAACATCTGACCGAACTTGGCGTGCCTTATTTGGTCTTGGGTCTCCTGGGCTCTTCCATTGGGACGATTAGACTTTGGTTTCGATCTTAAAACTATATACCTATGATTCGCCACCAGTTATGACCCTTTCAAGCAAATCAGAATCTCCGTTGACGTCATTCAACAATTCCTGATGCCTAAAATTTCTGAAAAACTGCATGGCATGAGCCAATCGATATGTCGACATCTTCAGCAACTTCTCTGATAATGGTTCTACGAATCTCCATAACAATTTTTTTCATTTTCTGAACATTTTCATCGGTTATTGATGTGCTGGGGCGTCCAGGGCGAGCATCGTCATTCACATCTTCTCGACCTTCCGTGAAGAGCTTGTACCACTTGTAAACATTTTTATGATTCAGAGTACAATCATCATATGCCACTGTCAACATTTCGAGTGTTTTTGAGCATTTCATTCCATTTTTACACAAAATTTGATGCAGATTCTCTGATCATAAAAGGCATAAAAGTTACAAATGTGAAACATTTGTAACTTTTATGCCTTTCATCAATAAACTAAACACGCCGAAGAGCTGAAACTGTGAACATACGTTCGAGACGAGTCTACCAACATGAAAAAATTAAAAAGTCTCTAACTGAATGTAAGTATGTAGCTCTTGAAATTTGACGGTTTTTTTTTACTTTACTACATCTTAAGAATCACAATCGCAGTCATTATTTTAATAATTAAATTATGTGTGTCATGAGAAAATAAGACTTTCTGATGAGGGTAATGTGAAACACCATTTTTTAATACTAGGAAAACTTTTATTCATGTTATTAAAACAAACATTTCAATTTGAATTTTAAAACTAATCTAATGTGAATGATGAATTTGATGATTTTTAACAAGTTTGTTAATATCAGGTTCGAATTTACTCAAAAACAGCCGTAAGTCACCGCGTTCGGTAATATGCAACCGAGTTCTCTTTGTAGTTAGTAACGTTATCATAGCACTAAATTCAAGTTCACACAAATACGATGATGGGAATGCTATCAAAAATCGTTGAACGATGGATCACAATCCAGGGTACAATTGCGGGATTGGCTTTTGTAGCCAAAATTCTTGGTATCCATTTTTGAATTTTATTTTTATTTCCTTGTTCGTTATCAGTTCTGAGAGTTCTTTTTCCAGCTGGGGTGTTCCCGCAGTGTTGACATTTGAAAAAGGATCCAACACCCAGTCAGGTATTTCCAATTTTAAAATGTCCTGGAATTGTTCTGCGAAATTATTGTGGAGGTTCTCCAAATGTTGGCAGTAAACAAGCAAGTCGTCGTTGTTGAAGAATACTCCTGACAAATTAGGGAAATTGAGAAACTCACGTCTGCCAATATTATTCTTGTATAAGAGCAATTTGGCTTTAGAAGCAGCAATGACATTTTTTGTTTTAATCAAATTCAAGTCGTCACCTTGAAGTTGGAGATTGACATCATTAAATAATTCATACATGTCTGTCAAGTACGAAATATTCTTTTAAGTGATGAGGTTGTCGTGCAATTCTTTGTCTTTGTTTTCTAAGAACTCTATTACAGAATCAAATAGATTGTAAAATCGAGTCAGACACTTACCTCTTGATAATCAACGCACTTCTGTGTGAAATAGCAATCGGTTGAAATCTTCAGCATTAGCAACACAAAGCTGATTATATAATCTGTCATTTAAAGAGCTGTTTCGGATTTTATTGACTGCTTTGATGATATATTGCAGTGATTGAGAGAGGAGCTCACTCAAATTTTTCGCAACCAAATGTTGCCTATGAATGACGCAATGTACAGCGAGCACATCTGGAATTTTATTTTTTAAGTACGCTATGAAACCTTTGTGACGTTCTGTCATAGCCAGAGACCGTAGCAGCTGATATAATATTTTTCAGTGGAATTTCTTTCTCATCACAAAATTTTTCCAGTGTATTATATATGGTTTCTCCTTTTGTATCCGTTTCTAAATTTCTGGCAAATAGTAGTTCTTGATATATTTTCTCATTTTGAATAAACCCCACGTATGACAACAACAATGCTTCCTTGGTTGGTAAAGTGGACTCATCCAACTGAATTGAGAATTTAGAAGTCTTCAGATGATTGCACAATGACCCTTCAATGTTTTCAGCCATCTCATCAACTCGTCTTTGCACGGAACTATTGCTCAAAGGAATTTTTTGGATAATATTTGCCGCTGGTTTATGGAGCACAGTAGTTATTACTTCTTTTATTGCCGGTAAAATTAAATCCTCTCCAATAGTGTGAGGTTCACTTGTTTGAGCAATTAGCAAGGAGATATTGTAGGAAGCTGGGAGTCCGTCGTCGTCTTACTTAGAAGCCACTGAAAAAAGTTTTGACACATTTGGCTGAGCTGAGTGTCACAAGTCACACTTTTGTCTTTTTTATCTGAAAGCATTTTATTCAAATGATCTTGTAGCCTTGAGGGTTTCATCGCTTCATTCGAAAATGTTTTTGACAAAGAAGGCACATAGGCGAAAATGGATTTGTGGGATTTTCAATAAATCCATATTTTATATATTCCGCGCTATGCCGCCGTATCTTCTTTTTTGCTTCCGACATAATTTTGTCTTAAAAAATGCCGAAGTAAAGAATCGAGTATTAAAAACTTGCTAATGACACCACTATAAGTATTCACCACCGCACGTACAGCACTTTACCTAGCTAGTCGCTAACTAAATTCACTTGTTTTCGTATTATCGTCGAATGACATTACTGGCTGGTTGGCGAGCGCGCTTTTATATGAGGTAGCGGGCGGGTCTAGTGCTTTCGAGAATGGAGACTAGAAACTTTTCGCTTCGCATTCGCTTTCGCTTACCGCCATCTATTGTACAGTTCGACAACTATTGGACAAGAAATAGTTACTGTCTAGTCCCCTAGATGGCGTTACACGAAGAAACAGCGTTAAGCGTAAAGGAGCGGTAAAGTTTGTGTTAAAAGCAAAAAAAAAATTGAAATTAGCCATCGCCCCCCTAAACCGCTTCAACTCTCCCCAATCTTCTCTGTGCCCTCTACTGCCCCCTATAGGCCTCCAGTGCCCACAAGGGGGCTTTATCGCCCACTTTGAGAAAGGCTAATCTAAAACATACTGATTTTGCAGCATTGTCAGACTGTTTCCGAAGTATATACTCCTACATACATTACACTAACAGTTATCAATTCATTATATTAAATAACTAATGTGGTGTAAAAGTTTCCAGTCAATATGTTTCCACTCCGTTTCCACTCCATTTCCACTCCATTTCCACCTTCTCACAACTGAAAAACTCTGACACAGTGTTCTTTTTGTTAAATCGATCATCAGGAGTATCTCAATCTTGTTGGTGTACAAATTCAGTTTTCAGAGATATGATTTTTTTGAATTTCCACTTCCTCAGACGGCCTTAAATACTATGACGAAGTTTTTCTCTGTCGGATAGATA